AGGTGTCGTTGGCTGGAGTCACTCCCTCATGCTGAGCCTTCAGAGGTTTCCTCTCAATGTCTTCAAAGAACTCCAGTTTTCCTTAAGTAGTTTCATTTTGCCTAATTATCCTCCAGCCGCAAAGCGAATAAGAGGCGTGAGGGATTAAGGAGAACCAAGAGGAACAGGCATTAGGGCTGTGAGCTGGAAGTGGGGAGGACGGGGAAGCCAGGGCAATTGGAGGGTCGGGTCAAAGCATACACAAGTTGCACTCCCTTTGAGAAATTGTATGTCAGAGTGGCTAAGAGAGTGGGCTCTGCACTCAGCCTGACCTGGTTTTGAGATCCATATGGCCACTGGCTAACTCAGGGACCTTGGGCAAGTTCCTTGACTTCTCTGAGCCTTGTTCCACATTTGTAACTTCAGAATAATGATGTCTACTCCAAACATAGATTGTCAGGATTTACTGAGAGAATGGCACCATGCCTGGCTCTCAGTAAGGCTCAATAAATGATAATGATTATGCACAGAGGTCAGAGATGGGAGAGGAACTCGGAAAGTTATAAAAAGGCTCAGCATCTCTGAGTTTGATTCTAAATGTCTTTGCAATCTAGTTCAGGAAGGCAGGGTCATGTCTGTCTTGTGACTACTGCCCTGGTCCCAGTAACCAGCACAGGTTCCTGCCTATTGGAGGGCCTCCCTAGCTCCTGAATGAAGGGAAGAATCAGTGAGTGGGTGAGTGAATGAAGGGCAACAGCCTTTTTTCTTTGAAGCTGCAGAGGCTGGGCAGTTATTGGGCCATGCAGGTCTCAGTCAGTCTGCCCTTTCTTGCTTCCTGGTACCCTCCAGCCTCGAGGCCACGTTTAGACCATTGATATTCACAGAATAATTTCCACCATTGATTACTGAGATGGAACACCCTCCCTCCCAAGCTCCGCCACCTTCCTCAGTCCTCCCCACCACAGGCAACTCCACCGAGTTTCCTGATTAATTCCCCTCCATAAACATTCTGATGAAGCTGCCAGCTCTCGCCAGGCAGCCTCCCAGAGCAAGGATTATTTCACAAAGCTGCTTTTCTCTTTATGACCTGTGTTCATTAGCTTCTGCAAGGGTCACAGTCTGGGCTGCGTCAGTGGGGCCACCTCTAGGTGGGCAGTTCCCCTAGAGGAGAAGCTCTTCCCAGCCTGCCCAGGGTGGAGAAGGTCACCCCTGCCTAGACCCAGTGGCCTGGAAGCCATGGGAAGAAGCAGATTCCTGGCAGGGGAAGAGATGCTCTCAGAGGAGAACATACTAGGTGGAGGCACATGAAACTTCTGATATTCAGCCATTTGCTGACCCACGTAAATGGCAATTCAATTTAATAGGACCCTCTGTGGTTGAGCCTAGAGAGAGGGAGGGGAGAAAGGAGTGAGGGATCTGGAGTCAGAAACACAGGGAGTCCTGCTCTGCTACTTCTCAGCTGTGTGGCTTGAGGATCGTGGCCTCTTTCCTCTGGGCCGTCTTGTCAAGTGTTGATAGTCACAGCACCTTGCAGGGGGGTGTGCAGTTTCAGTGCAATCATTACATCACAGCCTGCTTCTGTGACTGCTGCAACATCCCTGTGCCCTCAACAGCAGTTATTTTAGCAATAACGAGTGAGTCGGGGGCACCGGGAGGGTGCAGCTGTCCACTGACTGGCTCCCCAGGTGCCTACATTCACTTCTTTGGAGTCACTTCTCTGGCAAAGACATCCGGGGATCCAGGAGACTTTGGGGACACTGGATTTTAGTGGCAACCAGAGAGATCCTCCGTATCCCCTCCATGAGTGGATAAACACGGTGCCTGGCACAGACGGGATCCTCAACAAACGGGCATGAATGAGAGAAGTGTATCAGCTGATCTCTTAGAACACAGAATTCAGCTTTGAGAAGTAAAAGATATTTAAAAAAGTCATAGGAGGTTGGAGAGTGGGCATGGCAGGAGAGCAGCAGCCAGCTCCTGGGGGTTGGTTAGCAGGTGCTTTTATGGGGCCCTGGTAGTCACTGGCACTTTCAGCCTAAGGTTGCGGCAAGGGCCTGGGGCGCTGTCCGTGGTGCTGAAGCACCATCACTGGTGAGGGCAGCTGTCCTTTCTGTGCCTGTGCTCAGCGGAGGCCTGTCCACCTCCTTCAGGAATCCTCAGTCCAGGAAGGAAAGAAGCGGTGGAGGGGGGGGCAGAGAGTGAGAGGTGAGGCCTGCACAAAGGTTATTGGTCAGACAATCACTGCCAGACTGGAGGAGGCACTTTTGTTTTCACATTATTGCAGTCACCAAACACGAATTCCCTCCTGAGGGAAACATTGGCATTTCTCCCACCAGTACGCTTCGAATGCCGTCCTTTTTTCATTGCTGTGTAGTATTCCATTATATGAACTATATATGACTATCACAATTTGTTAATTCGTCTATTTTTGTTTTGTTTTGTTTTGACAGACTCTTGCTCTCACTCAGGCTGGAGTGCAGTGGCACGATCACGGCTCGCTGTAGCCTCAACTTCCTAGGCTCACGTGATCCCTCTGCCTCAGTCTCCTGAATAGCTGGGGCACAGGTATGGGCTACCATGCCCAGCTAAGTTTTTCTTGTAGAGATGGGGTCTCCTTATGTTTTCCAGACTAGTCTTGAACCCCTGGGCTCAAGCAGTCCTCCTGCCTTGGCCTCTCAAGATGCTGAGATTACAGGTATGAGCCACTGCACCTGGCCCCAGTGCCATCATTATGGCAAAAGTCAAATCAATCTTGTGTCTCCAAATTTGTGATGTGCACCCACCCTCCTTTCTCTTGTCTGGAAGCTCTCTGCAGGCCACTGCCCACTGCTTCTTCCAGCTCCAGGCCTTTTGTGCTTCCTACTTTCCATCATCTCATCTGACCCATCCTTTAGAGCCTGTCTCCAGATTCTTCTCTTCCAGGAAGCCTCCCTTGATCACTTCAGCCCACTCTGCCTTCTTGCTCCTCTGACCTCCTACTGAACTTGGAGCCAAGTTTAGCAAGCGCCGCTTTTCAAGATATTCTCCATAAGTGCTCTCTTTCTCCCCACTCAGTGGTGAGCTCTCAGGGGATCCAGTTCTTGCTTCTCTTACCTCCTTCCAGCAGAGCCAAGCCTGAACTCTGCATGAATATCAACATCAGCAGCAGTGGCATCCGCCACCATGAATGAGCACTAAGGCCGTGCTGGGGCTGTGCTGCACTTCCTGTGCTTTATCTCACTGAAAACCCACGGTAACTCTGTGAAAGCAGATCCTGTGATTACCACCATTATAATAGGAAGCTCAGAGGGATGAGGTAACTTGCCCAAAGCCATACATGCACTAGAGCCAGGGTTCAAGCAAAGGTCTGCCTGAGCTCAGGGTCTAGTTCTTAACCAGCAATCCCTCTGATTCATAGCAGTGATCCATAATGGCAACACACATCTGAAACCAGCCCCGCTCGGCTGTTTACTTCTGTTGGGGCTGTGACCCCCAAAGAACCAGGGCTAGAAGAATTGGGGATAGCAATTCTTGTTTTGTTTTGTTTTTTTATCAGTACAGAGCAGAGAGCACTGCATTCTTTTTCTGCCTCTAAGAACATTCTCATTACTTACAAATTACATTAATTTCTACAAACACTTATTGACACCCACTGCCTGCTGTGCACCCTGCGTTATGATGAGTACCGGATTAGACAGTCATAAATAAAACACACACTGGCACAGTCAGTCCGTGATAGAAGCTTTTAGAGAGAGAATTAGAAAGCGCTCTGTGGCTCAGCCCCATCCTGGGGGCCCAGCCAATAGATGACACCAGCTTCTATGCTTTTAGAAAGACCCTTGGAGTGTCCTGAACACCGCTCAGACTCCTGGAGAGACAGGAGGGACACATGGGGCTGGGGCTCTGGAATTTTCAGGAGACAGTGAATCTTAGACACCTCTTACCTGCTGGTTGCTTTGCTTTGTCAGGTGGTTGGATAACATCAGACTGCCCAAGAAGCCAAGCTGGCCCATCAGGATGGGTTTCTGTGTATGCGTGTGTGTGTGTGTGTGCGTGCACATGTGAGTGTGTGTGGGGGGCTGAGGGGTGCATATGCATGCCTATACACTTCTGCATTCCTTTTCAATTGGAAATATATCAGTGCTGACAAGGAACAGGGGTAGGAGCATGATATAATGCAAGGTTGCTGGAGCATGGGTGCACGGTGGGGAAAATAAGTGAAAATCAATTTTCCCCTGGATCTGTGTGTGTGCGTGCATGTGTGTGTGTGTGTGTGCGTGTGTGTGTGTGCATAAAACTCCAGCCAGTCAGACAATGTTCACTCCTCTGAACAGCACACAATGCTAATGCTGGGCAGAGCTGGAGCTTTCTGGGGAGCTCTTGGAATTGCAAGATTGGGGTGAACAGGGGTGGGAAGAAAGCTTTATGAAAGGCCTCGTCAAGCTTCTTTCCCCCCACAGTCCCCAGAGAGGTCCCTCTGGGCAGCTTCTTGGTTTCACCTGGTGTCATCTTGGCCTGTACCAAGCAGCAGCCCCTCTGCTCTAAGACTCCCCTCCAACCCTCCTGAGCTCCACCCTGCACCCTCTTCCCTACATCTTTCCCAAAGGGGCTGTCATTATGTCAAAAAGCCCAGTGATTTTAAAAGATACTTTCCCTCCTTGTGCTTTGATTCTGCCCCTGTTTCCCCTGGGTCTGCTAGAGAACAAAGGGCATGATTGAGTGGTAATGTGTCCCCGGTGTCTGCCTTGATTCCAGGCTCCTGTTGCTGGAGAGAATTTTGATCTCTGGTGCAGTAGCTTCCTCTTCTCCCTGTTGTGAGGGGAGAGTCAATGTCCTATGTGCTTCCTGGGTGTAAGAAGGGCCTCTCAGTCACTATAACTCAAAAGCAAGATCCTTTCACCCACTCAGCAAATACTGACACCTACCGAATGCCAGACACCATCACAGTTGAGTGGAGTTAAGCGTTTGTCAAGTCTTTAGACAAAAACTTTGGCCCTTGTCTTAGTCCATTTTTTGCTGATATACCAGAACACTGGAGACTGGGTAGTTCATAAAGAACAGAGGTTTATTTTTTATAGTCTGGAGACTGGGCAATCCAAGGTCAAGGGGCTGCATCTGGTGAAGGCCTTCTTGCTGTGCCATCCCATACAGTAGGTGGAAGGGCAGGAGGGCACCTGCAAGAGAGATAGTGGAAGAGCCCCTATGACCTAATCACCTCTTAGAGGTCACACCTCTCAACACTGTTGCATTGGGGATTAAATTTCCAACACACTAACCCTGGGGGACAGCAGCCCTCATGCAACTTGTGCTCTAGTGTAGAGTACAGTGGCTAGAGAGATACAGGGGCACATCCAGGCTCTACCATTTGCCAACTGTAAGACCTTGAGCAAATTAATTAACATCTCTCAGGCTGAGCTTTTCCATATTCAAAAGGGAGAGAACAAGAGCGTATTAGTTATCTATTGCTACGATAATGCTGCATAACAAACATCCCCAAATTCTGGTGGCCTGCAACAGTAAGCATTTGCTCCTCATGCATCTGCAGTCAGCTAGGGGAGAAGGATCACGGGTCTTACAGCTTTGTAGGCATTGGCTGGGCTCACTCCCACATTTGAGAGTCAGCCGGCTGTTGGCTGGGGTGACTTGGGTGACTTGGCTCTGCTCCATGTCTCTTTCATTTTCTGTCAGGTTAGCCTGGGTGTATTCTCCTGACAATGACAGAGGTACAAGAATGAGAGCCAATCCCATTACATACATGGTTTTTGAGCCTTTGCTTGTATTAGTTTCTAACATCCCATTGGATAATGGAAGCCTCTTGGAGGATTCCAGAGTGAAAGTGGAAGGAAACTACAAATTCACATGGCAAAGATGTGAATACAAGGAGGGATAAAGCGGTAGTTTCATTTTTACAGTCTACCATGGACTTTCTTCCTGGGACTGTTGGGGGATAAAGGAGAATGGCAAAAAGTCCTTGGCTCAGCTCTTAGTTCATAGCATGGGCAACATCAGGAGCTAACTTAAAAAGAACAGAGGTCTTTGGGTGAATGAGGGCAAGGTTCAGATAGGTCTTTTTCATTGTTATATCCCCAGTATAATAACCACTGAAGGAATGAGCTGACCACAAGGTAAGTTGTTCTTGAGATCAAGGCAGCTGATTCCAGCAATTGTTCCATCGCACCTGCTGGAGGCTAATGGTTTCCCCTAGAAGGCCTTGGATGGAGCCATTCTTTGTCCACTATGGGGCTTCTCGATATTTGGGTGAGAGGAATAGCTCCAGGAGTGTACTGGGAGAGCATTCTCACTGTCAAAGCTTCCAAAGAATGAGGAGGGAGGCCTCCTATCTGGAAATGATTGTTGTATGGACCAGAGGTAGGAGGAGGGAGCAGGTGACCACTCGGATCCTCATGCACACAAAGGAGAACTACATTTCCCATCTTCCTTGGCAGTGAGATGAGGCCACATCACTGAGTTCTGGACAGTGGGGTGTGGGTGGAAGGGATGTATGCCACTTCCAGACCTGTGCCCCCCAAAACCTCCTGCACAATCTCCCATAGCTCTCTCTTTCCTGGTCTTCTCATCAGATGCAGAGGGTCCAGAGAGGAACTCCAAGGCTCTAGGACAGGGGTCAGAAAACTGAGGTTCACAGGCCAAATCCAGCTCTCTGCCTGTATTTGTAAATAAAGCTCTATTGAAACACAGTCTTGCCCATTCATTGCTAGGTTGTTTATGGCTGCTTTTGCACCACAATGACAGAAATCATTAATTGTCACTGAGTGGCCTGCGAAGCCTAAGGTATTTCCCATCTGGTCCTTTAGGGAGAAAGCTTGTTGACTCCTGCCCTGGGGCATGGTGGAGCCACCACCCAGGATGGCAAGGAGCCTGGGGCCCTGGATGACTGTGTGGAGTACCGGCTCCTCCTTCCCAAGAGCGTGCGCTGGACAGGGACACAGCAAGAAAGCTTTTACTGTGCTGAGCCACTGAGATTTGGGAGCTGATTGTTTGAGCAGTCACCCTGGATACACACAGCCCAAGGAGCTCTGACTCTGGGATGAGCAGAAACATGGCCTCCTATTCATCTTCACCCTCTCTGTGCCTTGCACACCTAGGAAGCTGACTTGTCTCCAGGCCAGGGCTCATGCAGGAACCAGTCTGACATCCCATAGTCGCTCAGACCTGGTGGCCCTGAACTGCCATCTGGGTGAGGTCGCTTTGATGGAGTGGTAGGGGTCCTTCTCTCCTCATAGAAGGACAAAGCAATAAGAAGACCAGAGCCAGGAACAGGAAGCCCCCGGGAAGCCCATGCTGGTGCCAGCCTGGTGGTCCTAGAAAGGCAGCCTTGCTCTCAGACCAACCGTTTTAGGAAACTTGAGCTTGAGAGTTTGTAGATTAATGACTGTGCAATCCTAGATAAGTTACTTAACTCTGCCTTCCCAAGCTTCTGTTTTCTTATCTGTGAAATGTGATCAAGAGTGCCTATATCCTAGAGTTGCTGGTAATAGCAAGATCTTCAACAGTCAGGGAGGCCCCCGCCCTAGAGTGCCATTTACATGCACAGTGCCGTTTCTCTCTCACTCTTATTCTCCATGTTCTGGGTCCTGGAGTCATGTCCCTCCCCAGGGAACCCCCCTGCCTGCAGTCTTGGCTTCCCAGGCATGGCCCTGACACCTGGCACAGCTACCTGCACCTGGTGCTCACCTGCACTGGTTTCTCTCTTGAGATTTTGACCAAGAGGAATGGGGGTGGGTGAGCTCAGAGGGCGCAAGGCAGCCCTGCAGCTGGGGGCCATGCTAAGCCATGTGCCAGAGGAGCAAGGAGAAGAATCCAGCTGTTAGATGAGGGAAGTCACCCCACAGAGAGGAACACTCTGGGCTCCAGAGACAGGCTGCCCAGTGGAACGTTCTACGTCTGCGCTGGCGGCCGGGGGGGTGAGCTCTCTTAGGCTCGGTCTTGGTTTATGACACGTGCCTACTGAATACTTGAAATGTGACCAGTACCACAGAGGAACTGGACAGTAAACTTTATTTACTTGAAATAAATTTAAATTGGATGCAGTTTTGTTTTTTGAGATGGAGTCTCCATTTGTTGCCTAGGCTGGAGTGCAGTGGCGTCATCTCAGCTCACTGCAGCCTCTGCCTCCCAGGTTCAATCGATTCTCCTGCCTCAGTCTCCCCGGTAGCTGGGATTATAGGCACCTGCTTGACAATTTTTTGTATTTTTAGTAGAGACGGAGTTTCATCATGTTGGCCAGGCTGGCCTTGAACTTCTGACCTCAAGTGATCTGCCTGCCTCAGCCTCCCAAAGTGTTAGGATTACAGGCGTGAGCCACTGCGCCTGGCTGGACTTAGTTTTAATTCAAAGTGGCTAGTGGCTGTCATCTCGATCAACGTACAGCTAGTGTTTCCTGGTCATCCCCTCAAGGCCCTAGGTACACTCGGGGTCTTTCCTGCCCTTATGCCAGGAGCTGTTTCACCTTTACAAGGCCCACCTCCTTTGACTTGAGCCACCCTCAGTGGGGTTGCTTCTGAAACCTGGAGGTTTACGGCTGAGGTCAGCCCCAGCCTGGGTTCCTGGGGCTTGCCAAGGCTGCAGTGCTGTGTGTGTGTGCATGCACGCATGTGCACACGTGTATACCTGCAGTGGGAGAGAATGGGCAGATCATGACAGAAAGAGCCAGGCAGGTACCATGGAGATGCAAGCCAGACGCACGCTTTCCCCTTGGTAGGCGTGGCCTTGAACCTCAGCTTTTGCCTGCAGTTTCCACTGCATGAAGCTCTCAACAGCAGAACGTTTGAAATGAGCTCTTCTGGGAATGTGTTTCCCAGGCCGTGCATTCCCGAAGTAGCATTATTTATCCTGTTCCTTCTCAGACCCACTTTTCATTTTGCCTCCCGATCTGGCAGCTCCAGAGGTGTCAAAAAGAACAGGTGGAAGAGGAGGGGATTCTCAGATTTGCAGGACACCGCGGCACGCAGGGGCTGTGCCACCACAGACTGGAGCAGAATCACGCGAGCTCCAGCACCAGTGGTGCCACTGGTTTGCTGGGTGACCTTGGGCAGGTCAACGAACCCCTCTGGGTCTCCGTGGCCCCATCTGTTGAGAGGGTTAAGTGAGGGATAGGACAGGCCTGCGAGGAAGGGAGGGGCTGGTGTCATGGGTGTCATGCACACATCTCCTGCTGAGCCCAAAGACACCAGGAACTTGCTTCCAGGGAACAAACATGGACTAAGTCACAACTGCCATAACCCGGTGGCTTGTCACTTGGAGAGTGAATGAACTCCTCGGTTAAGCAAGATCTGAAGCCAAAGCGAATGCACGAAGGGGGAAAGGCAGTGGGGTGGTGAGGAGGGGCTGAGGAGCCAGGGCACCTCCCAGCACTGGAGGGAGACCTAGCCTCTGGCCAGACCATTGTGGGGCTCTTGGGAAGAGGATTTGGAGGTCCAGAGGCTGTGTGCCCCTACCCCCGCCCCAACTTGGCTAACCTGTTGGCATATTCTGTAACCCTGCTGGAGCCTGGGCTTTCTCATCTGCCAAACGAGGATGATGACAGCAACTGGGTCCTGTGAGGGCAGCTGGGACAATTCAGTGTGCTATTGTAGCTGAAGCCTGGCACACAGTAGGTGTGCAAAAAATAACTCCAGCTTGTGCAGAGAAGAGGGCTGTTCAGAGAGGAGACTGGGATGATGGGATCTGCTTATACCTGTTTTAAACAAAATTTTTTGGTCTTTTTTCTTTATGCAAACCATTCATTCCACAAGCTGATACTTTTTAAAGAGCAGCCCTTAAGCTGAGAGAGAGCAGAGGAGCCTGAAGTGGGAGAGGTGCCCAGAGTAAAAGCCCCTGGCCTGGCTCTGACCTTGGGCGACCCTTCCCCTGCAGGGCCCAGGAGCTCTTCTCTAAAGGGAGAGGTTGAACCAGAACACCTGGAGGTCCCTCCAGTCTGAAGGTTTCCATAGGTCCCCTCCCTGCCTCCCCCACCTCCCTGCTCTAAGACGGAGCCTGGAGGAGAGTGCCGGTGGGGGAGGAGGCCGTCTGGCTTCCTTCCACCCAGCCTTGCCCTGGGGTTCCCAAGTACCTTGAATTCATTAGCGGCTGCAGCTCTGAGCGTTGATTAAAAAGATGCTGTTTTTTTTTTTTCCCCTTCTCTTTTCCCCTTGGTTCTTTCCCGGAGCAGTGATTTCAATTTGCAGCCGGCTCCCTCTGGGATAGAGGAGAGGGTGGGGCTGGGAGCTTGGCCGCGTCTAGCTGGGGGTGGGGGCGGGGGTGGAGACCTGGGTGCCCTCTCTTCCCTTTCTCTGCTCCTCTCCTGCCTTCTTCCCCTCCACGCGCCTGGCTCCCCCTCCACTCCCCCTCCCTCAGTTGCAGGCCAGGATCTGACACACCTGCAGTGCACATTGATTGCCTGATTAAGGGGAGATTGATTGGTCCCTCCTGTCATTAGCATATAGTTAGCGGTGACCCCTCTGCTTGGCCTCCAGCCTGCGCTGGCCTGAATGGCTCCAACAGCTCAACAGGAAATGGGAACTCGGGGAGGGGAGGGGCTGGCCTGGCCTGGTCTGGCTGTCAGCCCTGAGCCAATAGGGGACACCTAGAGCGCTCTAGCCTGGCTGGGCCCTGGACCTTCCGCGGGAATCAGTGGACTATTTTCCTTTCTTCTGAATGGGGAGGTTGAATGCAACGCTTTCTAAGTCAGAAGAGAGTTGTGCAGCCTTACCTCCCCAACCCTGCACCATCTTCTCCCGACCCTCCCAGCTCCTCCGCACACCTTGTACTGGAAGCTCCTTTAACCCGAGCTTTCCCCTTTTTCTTGGAGACTTTTTTTTTTTTTTTAAGAGACAGGGTCGGCGGGGCGCGGTGGCTCAAACCTGTAATCCCAGCACTTTGGGAGGCCAAGACGCGCGGATCACGAGGTCAGGAGATCGAGACCATCCTGGCTAACACGGAGAAACCCCGTCTCTACTAAAAAATACAAAAAACTAGCTGGGTGAGGTGGCGGGCGCCTGTAGTCCTGGCTATTCAGGAGGCTGAGGCAGGAGAATGGGGTAAACCCGGGAGGCGGAGCTTGCAGTGAGCTGAGATCCGGCCACTGCACTCCAGCCTGGGTGAGAGAGCGAGATTCAGTCTCAAAAAAAAAAAAAAAAAAAAAATCTAGTTTTCTCCTAAAACAAAACCCAGCAATGCCACATGCTTTGGGAGGGGTCGGGTGGATGACCCCAGAGCCCCGGGGCCAGCTGAATCTCCCAGCCACGCCTACTAGGACGGTGAGGTCGCTGCAGGTGGGAGCTCCTGGGTAGGGTTCATTCATTCTCCCTCCCTGTCCTCAGAACCCCACCCTGTGCAGAGCCCATGGCCGGTGCCTGGAGCGGGGGCACACCTTGAACACAAGCTTCAGGGCCAAGTTTGAATCCGACTCAGTCACTTAGCAGCTTTGTCACCTTCTGCAAGCTCACCACCTCTCGGAGCCTCATTTTCCTCCTTTCTGAAACAGGATGACAGTAACCATCCTAGAAGGATTGCTAAAAGCTTCAATTGAGATAATCTATGTGCACAGCACATCGTAGGCACAAAGAAAAGGGAAAAGGAAGACTAACGTTTGATGTTTTCACTCTGCCATATTATGGTTTGTTTATTGGCCTCCCGAAAGCATGTTATTTGAAAACAAATATAAAGGATATTATAAGCTCTGTCATCGCAGGGAATACGCCTCATTCATCCCAGCACCACTGCTGGTGCCTGCACAGTGTCAGGGACATGGCAGGTGTGCAAGAGATGTTGGGTGAGTTGATGGATTTTGGACTCAAGGTGCTCTGGGACCCTGAGCAGCGCCCCTTGAGAAGGTGCCTGGCTCAGCCCTGTAAGCTGAGATCCCTTGGCCAGGGCTTTTAGAGGATGACAATGATGGATGAAGTCAAGCCTAGGCAACCCCTCCAGCAACTCTGAAGGGAGATTCTCCATCTGGCTACAGTGAGGGGAGCCATGGACCCGCGGATGGCAGTGGGGGACTCTCAGAGCGGTTGGGAAGGAGATGAGGTCTGGTGAGCATCCTTTGGTCAATAAGAGACAAACTGTATCCACTGGGCTGAGCAGATGTCCATGTTCCCAGCCACATGCTGAAATCCTGGGGAGGTGGAGTTCAGTGACACCAGGAGCCTCCTGGGCAAGGTCACTTTGAGCTCAGGCCAGGGGTGGCACCGTGAAGATGGCCATGGGAGACCCTTTGATCTGGTCCACCTTGCTGGTGGGCACACAGGAAACCTCAGGACCCAGGAAGCAGCAGTTCTCCGGTATAGGAATGGGGTTGGAGGGTACCCTGCTGCAATGCCCAGGATACAGCAAGCAGCCTCTGGCAGAGCCAGGCAGAGCCAGGCGGTGCGAGCCAGGGGGGCGAGGCAGTCCCAGCTGGCTGGGCCAGAGAAGGCTTCCTGCGAAGTCGCAGCCCTTTGAAACTGACTAATAAGGTTTTCTTCCCTTTCTAAGTTGAATGAGTCAGGAGCTTCATATAGGATCCCATCTGTCTGCTCCATCCCTGCCAGTTGGATTCTAGGCCTCTAGCCAATTAAAAAACCCAAACTAGCTCAGTGGGAATCTGCTTGACTGGTTTGGTGAGAGCTCTGTTTTCCCTCGGTGGAACGGAGGCCTCTTGGCTGCCCTTCTGGGTCGTGCCTGAGAAGGAGTCTGGAATCCTGCAGCCAAGGAGCCGGGATGGCTTGAATTAGGACCAGGAGGTGGGAAGCTGCAAGGAGATGGAGCCCAGCTACACAGAGGAAAGACGTTGTTCCCCAGGCTGTTCGTGGCTGGAGCTCACCGCACTCCGGGCCTGCTTTGGTCGCAGTGCTTGGCCAGGCGTCAGGGGAGCTCAGCTTGACCTGGACGTCTTCCCCGCAGTGCTCCAGGCCCTCGAGGACTCAGTGCTGGCTGTACCTGAAATGAACGAACACGTGCCCAGGCAGGGGCAGGGGGAACTTATCACCAGAGCTGGTCACATACGGGCTTTCAATCCCTTGTTCACACCACAGCTGGCCGGTTGGATGGGACAAGGTCCCCGGGATTCCCTGAGGCTGAACGAGCTGAGCTGCCGGAGGTGTGGGCGGGATGGAAGGTGGGTGGCCTGTGTGTCGCTGGGATTAGGCTTCCTGGGCCATCATCTGCTTCTCCTCGGAGAGGGGTGACAGCGTGAGGCTCAGGAGGGCAGGTGCCACCCAGAGGCCAGATTCAGCAAAGAGTAAGCAAAATCCCCTGGGGATGGGGTGGGAAGAGTTGCTGCAAAACGTGTGCACTTTGCTCAGACAGGACTATTACAGCTATAAGGAGAAATGAAGGTGTCTGCAGCCAGCCCGCAGCAGAGCAGACGAGCTCTTGAGAAGGCACCTGCTCCTGTTAGAGGTGGACCTTTGGTAGCAAAGAGACAACAGCTGTCAACAAAACAAATGGGGGCTGGATGTAGTGGCTCACACTGGTGATCCCAGCACTTTGGGAGGCTGAGGCGGGCAACACAGTGAATATTCATCTCTAAAACAAAACAAAACAAAAAAGGAGATGGGTATGGGACCGTGCATTTGGGGGCCATTTAGTGCGAGGCAAGCACCGGGCAGAACATGTAGCTATTAATTAATGTGCTTATCATGTCAACCCCTCCCCACATGCAATAGCCCATAAATTCTGTTTTTCTTTTTCTTTTTTTCTTTTTTTGAGATGGAGTCCTGCTCTGTTGCCCAGGCTGAGGTGCAGTGGCACAATCTCAGCTCACTGCAACCTCTGTCTCTGTTTCAAGCGATTCTCCTGCCTCAGCCTCCCAAAGTAGCGGGGATTACAGTCTCCTGCCACCATGCCCGGCTAATGTTTTTGTATTTTTTAGTAGAGATGGGGTTTCACCATGTTGGCCAAGCTGGTCTTGAACTCCTGACCTCAGATGATACACCCGCCTCGGCCTCCAAAGTGCCGAGATTACAGGCGTGAGCCACCGCGCCTGGCCAATTGCCAATAAATTCCACTATTTTTAGAATCAGGCCCGCCATCATCACCACGTTCCATCATAGCCTCATCTCATGCCTCCGTCTCCAGCCACTCTGACCTGGTTCCCCAAGCCCTCCGCACCCTGCCCCCATCACCGAGGGCCTTTGCACACACAGTCCTTTCTGCCCAGTGCTCTCTCCTCTCTTACCTCAGCTGCTGGCCTCTCTCTATGGACACCCTGGGGATCTGATGTCAACCCTAGCCCTCCCTGACCCCGGGGCCAGTCCACGCTGCTTCATTCATTGGGTTGTCACCAATGCTCATCCCTTTCCCTCAGAGCGAGCCTTGAGCCTTGAATGCCACCTGGTCTCTCTGGGGTTGCTTGATTCATGCCTTGTCTGCCCCACCTGACTGTAGGACCCTCTGAAGCAGGGATGTCGTCCTCCTTTGTCACTGTTTTACCCTGAGCCCAGCACAAGGCTTGGCTCCTAGAGGCTCCCATGAAGCTGTTCTCACCTGAGAGTGACCCCGAAAAGTTCAGGACACTGGCATGGAAAGGGTCACTGCTTCTCACGAGGCCAGAGTCCCTGACATGGAATTCAGCAGTTTAGAGAGGGTTTCCAGACCCAGCCTGAATTCACATTTTCACTCTGGTGCCACTGGCTGGCTTAGCGGTGACCTTGAGAAAGTTGAATTAACTCTCCGAACAGGTGTTGTCACCTGTTCCTTGGACAGGGCAGAGGGAGGAGTCGCTGAGATGACACAGCACACAGAGCCCTTGGCACACATCCTGGCACAGTGGGTGCTTAGTGGCCGGTGGTGGGGAGGCGGGGCAGCGGTTCTGAGGCCTGGACACCTCTCATCTCTGGCTAGGGGTCGGGTGAGGAATTTTTCCTGGCTGCCCCAGAGTCGTCCAAAGCAGCAGCTGCCCGGAGCTGGCAGGGTGGGTGAGGCCCTGCGGAGACCTGGAAGGTGTTCAGGCCACGGGTTGCAGGCACGGTTGGCAGCAGCGGCTCCACTCCAGCCTGGTGACCTCTGTGAGAAGCTGCCTCTGCTCCCCTCTGGCCACTCTCCGTCCACAGCCAGGACAGCCTTCAGGAAGAAGAAGGAGGACCGGAGTACTCACAGGATATCAAGCCCTCCCAGTGCCCTGGCTGCTGGCACCTACCCTGAGCTCTTCCCGAGGGACCTGGAGCTTCCCCAGGGCTGCCCTTTTCCCCTCGTCAGCCCCCAATAAGACACCCAGCTGCAC